GGCGAGAAACAATGAGCAGAGTTTCCTTTTACCCTGATGCCCCTGTTACCTAGCAGTAAATAGGTATCTGGGTGTTAGTCAGCTGTCATGGGCTGCTTCCTGGGTGGTGGAGGCCTGGTGGAAGACCGGGCCGCGGGGACACTAAAGCCCCGATATCAAATCATCTCAAGATAGCGTACCCAATCACAACCGTTTCCATAGTCCTATAAAAACGTTCGTTTTATATATGTTCCATACACGCAATCCCCAATCTCCATATATATATATACCAGCTGATTATGCTCTTGATTGGTGTTCCGTCATATTAGGGACGCCTCTCAGGCTGTAGATTAGTCCTCCAAGATAATCTTTCTTGCTTCATACGCCGCCTTGTTGAATACACTTTCATACGCCTGAACCTTAGTGCTGGCTTTGTTACTCTTGACTTGAGGCTGTCTCAGTACATACATAAATACTCTAATCTTCTTAGCAGGCATGAAGCGTTGGGTATCTGTTGCTCTGTGCTCTCTCTCTCGCTGTATCTTAGTCTCTTTGTATCTCGCTCTGTATCTCAGTCTCTTTGTATCTCTCTCTGTATCTCAGTCTCTTTGTATCTCTCTCTGTATCTCAGTCTCTTTGTATCTCTCTCTGTATCTCGGTCTCGCTTCATGCAGGTCGGCGTTCAATCCCCGACCGTCCAAGAGGTTGGGCACCATTCCTTCTCCCCCGTCTCATCCCAAATCCTTATCCTGACCCCTTCCCAGTGCTATATAGTCGTCATGGCTTGGCGCTTTCCCCCCCCCCTGATAGTTCCCTTCCCTTCCCTTCTCTGTATATCTCTAATTTAGTTTCTTCTTTCTTTTATTTACTTTTCTCATTTCCTCTCCTTCCGTTCTTTGCTTATTTTGTTTGGTTTCCATTCCATCTCGTAGGCTCAGATGGAATGGAATTTTTGGCTCAGTTTTGATGCTTTACTTTTCCACTTGCATCTCAATTCCTTTTCCTATTGAAAGAAGTAACGGTCTTGCTTCATGCAGGTCGGCGTTCAATCCCCGACCGTCCAAGTGGTTGGGCACCATTCCTTTTCCCCGTCCCATCCCAAATCCTTATCCTGATCCCTTCCAAGTGTTATATAGTCTCAATGGCTTGGCGCTTTCCCCTGATAATACCCTCTTGCCTTACAATAGTTTCCTCCCCGCTCACGTCTTGAAAGAGGCCCCAAGACCGAGCGAAACATCGTCACTCTTCTTTCACTACACAATGGGCGTGTTGGGTCACGCTCAGCCGCGCTATTGTGACTTGTTCTTCGCGTACTACTCGATAAAATGTGTACACGCTAACAGTGTCAGTATTTAAATAATAATTCTGAAGTTATCCCTTATATAACACAAAGCGTGGAGGTAAATAATTAGGATGAACTGGCCCAAGTGCCTAACTAGGGCTGTCGTTACAAATATTTACCTTACTTGTCATACACTTATCAATATTAGTCGTTAATATCCATTAGATAAATGTAGTTTTCAATAGTAACAATGTATTTCAACAATCGGCGAATAATGCACGAGTAAATAAATTCAACGCCTCAAAAGCACCGATAATACAAAAAAATAACTTATCCAGGAATAACAGTTATAAACTCGCTCAGTCTTCAATCAAAACTATTATTCTTAAATTAATAGTCAAAATATGTCAATTTCTCATGAAACTCTACAAGCACTAATCTGAGAAAGCTGTAGCAAGGTTGTCACCTTCCTCCACACAACAGATACTCGGCCTAGCTCACATTATATTCATTTATATCGAACCTCACATACATAATGTATGATGAGTCTAGTATATATAGACGTTACTGTGTTAGATGAGTAAACCAAGTTAACTCTGTAAGCTCCGATGTCCATCAATATTTTCCTACACTTGTAATATCACATTAGATCGTACACAGTATCTATCGGCCGCTGCTTTGAGGAGAAGCGGGTAGGGAAGGAGGGAGGTGAAGGAGGAGTACCATTTGTCTAGGCAGGCCAGATCAAGATAGGCTGGACATGGCCAGCCAGAACCTTGTAAGCCTAGGGCTGAGATGTGCATAGCGGGGCTGGGATGTGCATAGCAGGGGTAGCATGTCTGAACATGGTAGGGAAGGGATTGGCTAGAAAATACAAGTACGTACGTATATGCCTAGGATAGATAGGCAGAATAGCGTGATTCATAACACATCATAACTGACAAGAACAATACAATAAACAAAAGAACAGGGAATAAAGGCTGTCTCGATTTACAATGCAAGAGAAGATTAGAGAGGTAAGATTACGGTATGTAGATCAGGGTGTGGAAGTGGAGTGAGGGCGCTGGCTGTTGGCACAGAACATTGCCAGACAAAAATGCAGGAAAGGGATGGGCATAATTGTAGGAATTGTAGATGGTTGACAAGGCAAAGACGTGGTAGTAAGAGGCCCCGCCAAGCACGGGAGGGTACGCCATGATTAATATGATCGCTGGCAGGACGCCGCAAGGTCACAAAAGGGTGTATGAAGGACTGGTCAGACAATGCAAGTCAAAGAGCTGTGCTGATGGCTGCTTGTACGGAATCAGTAAGTGAGATATGCTTGAAAGGGTAAGACTTTGTCCTGCTTGATTGACAAAGTAACGGAGTGAGGACACTGAAGGTGCAGTATGCAAGGCAGCGCTACGAAGGCAGGTGGTGTTATAAGCGTCTGCCAGTACCCGCCAACCGTGAGAGACTCTTAGTCTTGCAGGATCACTTTACGGGCCAGACGACGGGGCAGACGATACCCTGTACCCGTGACCTAGAATCTGGTGGTCTGAGAGTGCCTGTGACTGCCGCGGCGTGGCCTCCTCCTCCCTTCCCCTGGCACCGCCTGAGGACTGCATCTCACTCTCAGTTGCTGATGCTTGCACCACGCCACTATTGCTACCCTCAGTTGACTCATTCCTCAACCGATTCACGTTATCTGTGACTGCTGTTCCGTAAGAGATGTGTTCAATACATATATCTTGCTACCATTTGAGAACACGGAAGAACCAGATATGCACAACCACATGAAATTGGAGAGGATTGTGATCGTTTGGAAGTATATAATTAAGTGGTGAAGGTAGTGACAGAAACTCTCCTGTGCATATTTCAGTGGATTATAGAGGAATCCACTGGCAGCTCGGACGGTGATGGTGCCCGCAGAGCAGCGTTTGTTGAGGAGAAAGTGGAGGCCATTAGAAAGGGCGGTGAAACGTCGTCATGGGAGTGCCACACGCCAAGCGAGAGATCTGTATTCCAGCGTCTGAACTGCTGAGTCTCAGGATGTGGATATATGCGCTTACCATGATCAAATCAAATTATGTCTCAATATGTCTAAGTGAGATGAGCTGTGTTCTTAAAATACCCAAGTGAAATGGACTGCACCCATAGCCTACCATGCCTCTTTGAGGTGAACTGTACCCTTTCCATAAACCAAGTGAGATAAACTGTACCTTTACATGCCCATGTTTAATGGATTTGGACATGGTAAAGGTACAATTTACTTGGGTACAGTAAACTGTACCCCTAGTTTACCATACCCAAGAAAAATGGACTGAAATTTCACCATATCCAAATTAGCTAACTTGTATTTCCGGGAAGGTTGAGTTGGAAAACTCTTGTACATGGATTTAGGTTATATATGTTGTTTCGATAGTGAATAAGGCAGCACATAGCCTAGGCCTATCGGTCTAGGGTGTCCTCGTGGTAGACTGGTCAGTGTCTATGGCAATATGAAAAAGTGATAATTGGGGAAGAATTGCGATTAGATCCTGAAGGATGTGAGCCAGTATGGAGGAGAGTGACAGTATGGAGAAGTGTGCCAGTAGGCTTGTGGAGAATCTGCTGCTTCCTCACAAATACATGAGCCACATGTTTCAAGGAAAACGGCAACAGAGAATGTAAATTATCTGCGCAGGATGTGATCGAATGTAGTTTTGATAATGTAAACACATTGAAGGACGCCGTGAAACCTTTATCCTGCAGTGGTACTTAGTATGATTCATTCTCTTTGACTCTGTCTCTCTTTCTCTGTGTTTCTCTGTCTCCCCCTCCCTTCACTCTCCCTCCTCTCTCCCGCCCTCCCTCCCTCCCTCCCCCACTCTCCCTCCTCCCTCTCTCCCTCCTCTCTCCCTCCTTCCTCTCTCTCTCTCAATATTAGAAGAGAAACTTAGTCTCCTCTGAACCACGTTCTTGAGTTCAGCTTCAAGCAGGCTGATAAATTTTTTCGTGTATAATTATTTCTATGCGTATTCAACGGAAAAAATCGTGGAACACTGATAATGTTCTTTTTGCAACCTTGCAAGAGAGGACTAGTTTGTGGCATGGCATCATACTCCTGATAATGGGTGTTGGGGTGATGGAGTCCATCCATGGTGTGTCCACCAGGCACCTCGGTGCACAGTCTCCTACACCTCCAGGTAGGACAGTTTACACAGTGTGTGGAGCAGGCGGCCACACCTCCAGGTAGGACAGTTTACACAGTGTGTGGAGCAGGCGGCCACACCTCCAGGTAGGACAGTTTATGTGGTGTTCCCTCACTTGGGAACCTTAGCGCCACATCAGAGACCCCCCCTCTGCTCTGCCACCACCGTAATCCAACGGCCTTTGGCGAAGGTCCGCTCTTACACACCTTTGAAGTATAGTGCTCCATACTCCAGAAAATATTTAATATTTTAAAATATTACTTTGTTTTAATTATTTTAGAAAATTTGCTTTTAATGTTTAATATGTCTATTAAGCTTTCCAATTTATATATATGTTTAAAATTATATATATATATATATTATATATTTATACATATATATACTCCGTTTCAGTTGTACTTTGTACAAATGGGATTTTTTTTCTGATTTGCAATCTAGATGTTTTGTTTGGATGTGTTTAGGGTCAAATTAGCCGTATACAAATTATTGTGTGTCTGGCGCACTCTACCAGTGCCTCAGTTAGCACTGCGCAGTAATGACGAAGCGTGCCGGACTTGGCTAGCTCGTATGACGTAGTTGTACACAGGAACGGAACAGTGCACCACGCCTCTCGCCGCGCTCTCGTCTCTACATTAATGAATGGACGGACGTCCAGCCAGGCACCAGCTGTGGAGTAATGGCTCCGGAAAGGAAAAGGGAATCACTGACATCTGTTGAATGAAATACCGCCTTTGTTGTTGCGCGGGACGCGACGTTTGGTTTGTTTATCACGTACATAGAGCAGTGAGCACCACGTGACGCCTTTAACAGAAGAAAAGAGTCGGCTTAGGCTAATGACTGAAGCAGCTTCACTGTACCGTGGTACTAGCTAGTGACGGAGGCAGCTTCACCGTCCTGTGATTCTCACTATTTTGACAGTAGATAACGAAACGAGAAACATTCTCAGCTAAACAGATATCTGCAGACTGAAAATTTTTAAGACGCGCGTGCCGGAAACCACAGTGCATAACGCTGCTTTAAAAACCCGGTACGTTGCTGGGTGACTGACTACCTGCACCTGGGCAAACGCCTTTCTTGAGTGTACTGAGACGCTTCTAGTCTTGGCCTGTGCATTGTCCATCTTACGCGCCCGCCAACAGCAGCTGAAAATATGGCGGCACGACCTTGGACAACAATAAATAACCAAGATGATGATGTAAATGCATTTTGGCTGGTAATATGAAAGGTTGTAAGCAGGCGTGCACTACGCGCGTATTGTATGCATAGTTAGAGCATTATAGCGAGGAGCCGAGCTTTTGGAGCAGTGAACATATGTGATTGCGAGGAGTTTCATAATATGATACGAGTGTGTTTTGTGATGCCGTACGAAGGTTTCGCGTCTGCCAGTGTGACTACATCGCCGGGTCCTCCCACGTGGCGCGAGCTGTACACGGGTTAATTAAAGCTTCTGGGTCAGTGTGTGTACACGCCTACAGAGTACAGCACCCTGGCGCTATACGGTGTAGCTAATACGAGATGCATCGCCAGTAGAGATAAGCTGTGCATATATGTGCGCGAGGCAGGACGACCGCTCAGGGTACCGGTGCTCCTGAGCTTGTGTGAGGAAGAGAGAGAGGGCGTGGGGCCCACCCAACAGCCCTCCCAGCTGCCATGTTGCGGTTTTGTTGGTGATGGAATGGTATTGGCGCCGGCTTCCTCGTAAGCCGCTTTTGGGCGTTGATGCCATGGAGATGAGAAGCGGTGCGCAGGCGCGGTTCCCGGCACCCACCAAGAGGTAAGGATGGGGAATGGTGTTAGTGTTGAGTGTGGTCAGTGTCCGCCCCGTCCAGATAAACCACTCTGGCACTTTGGGGTCAATTCAATTCAATTTCTGTCTTTATTATGCACCCCATACCCATGCCGTGAGTGGTGGTGGTGGAACGGGTTACAGAGGCATATATACGGTGCAGGAACTGGACCACATAGTTCATTTAGCTAAGCATGTGACAATCTTTTGAAGGTAGTTACGCAATTGTTAATGTTACATACACATGTACATATATACATAATCATTTACACAAATACACCGGGTGGCTGTGGCTGTTTTTTTTTTTTTTGTCAGAGATTCTTTGAACATTATTTTGTCATAAACATATGTAAATGATGTGTTTGATTCACAAGCACAAGTAAATACATACTCGTCATCTCCTTTATACCTGTTTTTTTCTTATTGAATGATAAGGTTTTCCATTATATTATGTCATTTTATTTTTTTTAATTTGAATTAAAACTGGCCGAAATTTCATCAAACTAAACATTACGTAATATAACTGTCGTTAATTCGTGTGTACTTTCGTGCGTGCGTACTCACCTAGTTGAGTACGCATGCATAAATGAACACACGAATAAATGACTTAGTTATGTTAGGTAAGGTTTGGTTTAATTAAATTTCTGCTAGTTTTAACTCAATAATTTTTCATTAATTTTTTTTTAAATATATAATTTCAAGATAACTCTGCTTATTAGGCAAATTGGCCTATTAGATACAAATACATATGTATGCCAATGTCAGACCACAAAGGAAGGTTTAAGACTGGAAATTCCTTAAGTACTTTCGTATAGAATAATACATCTTCTAAGAGATCATTTGCTCCTTCTAAAGTTGTATTATTATTAAATACGAAAGTACTTAAGGAATTTCCTGTCTTAAACCTTCCTTCGTGGTCTGACATTGTCACATTATTCATCACGTGTTAATTTCTTCGTGACACACACACACACACACACACACACACACACACACACACACACACACACACACCACACACCACACATACACACACACACCACACATACACACACACACACACACACACACACACACACACACACACACACACACACCACACATACACTCACACACACCGGGACTTGGTAGCCTGGTGGATAGCGCGCAGGTCTCGTAATTCTGTGGCGCGGGTTCGATTCCCGCACCAGGCAGAAACAAATGGGCAAAGTTTCTTTCACCCTGAATGCCCCTGTTACCTAGCAGTAAATAGGTACTTGGGAGTTAGTCAGCTGTCACGGGCTGCTTCCTGGGATGTGTGTGTGGTGTGGAAAAAAACAAAAAAAGTAGTTAGTAAACAGTTGATTGACAGTTGAGAGACGGGCCGAAAGAGCAAAGCTCAACCCCCGCAAACACAACTACGTGAATACATACACACACACACACACACACACACACACACACACACACACACACACACATACACAGTTTCATACACAGTTTCAAATGTAGATATGATAGAGCCCAGTAGGCTCAGGAATCTGTACACCAGTTGATTGACAGTTGAGAGGCGGGACCAAAGAGCCAAAGCTCAACCCCCGCAAGCACAATTAGGTGAGTACACACACACACACACTTAATAATGATGGTTAAAATATATATTGCCAGATCAAAATATAACGGAGCTCTATTAGAACATGCCGGTGTGGTTTTTTTAAGTGAAGTCATTAGGATATGGTTGTGTGGCTAAGCAGGGCTATATTAAAACATGCTAGTGAGGCTAAGCAGGGCTATATTAAGGCATACTGGTGAAGCTAATCAGGGCTATATTAAGACATTCTGGTGTAGCTAAGCAGGACTATATTAAGACATGCTGGTGTGGCTAAGCAGGGCTATATTAAGACATTCTGGTGAAGCTAATCAGGGCTATATTAAGACATTCTGGTGTAGCTAAGCAGGACTATATTAAGACATGCTGGTGTGGCTAAGCAGGGCTATATTAAGACATTCTGGTGTAGCTAAGCAGGGCTATATTAAGACATTCTGGTGTAGCTAAGCAGGGCTATATTAAGACATACTGGTGAAGCTAAGCAGGGCTATATTAAGACATGCTGGTGTAGCTAAGCAGGGCTATATTAAGACATTCTGGTGTAGCTAAGCAGGACTATATTAAGACATGCTGGTGTGGCTAAGCAGGGCTATATTAAGACATTCTGGTGTAGCTAAGCAGGGCTATATTAAGACATTCTGGTGTAGCTAAGCAGGGCTATATTAAGACATACTGGTGAAGCTAAGCAGGGCTATATTAAGACATTCTGGTGTAGCTAAGCAGGACTATATTAAGACATTCTGGTGTAGCTAAGCAGGGCTATATTAAGACATGCTGGTGTGGCTAAGCAGGGCTATATTAAGACATGCTGGTGTGGCTAAGCAGGGCTATATTAAGACATGCTGGTGTGGCTAAGCAGGACTATATTAAGACATGCTGGTGTGGCTAAGCAGGACTATATTAAGACATTCTGGTGTAGCTAAGCAGGACTATATTAAGACATACTGGTGTGGTTAAGCAGGGCTATATTAAGACATACTGGTGAAGCTAATCAGGGCTATATTAAGGCATGTTGGTGTAGCTAAGCAGGGCTATATTAAGACATACTGGTGAAGCTAAGCAGGGCTATATTAAGACATTCTGGTGTAGCTAAGCAGGACTATATTAAGACATTCTGGTGTAGCTAAGCAGGGCAATATTAAGACATACTGGTGTGGTTAAGCAGGGCTATATTAAGACATACTGGTGAAGCTAATCAGGGCTATATTAAGGCATGTTGGTGTGGCTAAGCAGGGCTATATTAAGACATGCTGGTGAAGCTAATCAGGGCTATATCAAGACATACTGGCATAGCTAAACAGGTCTATATTAAGACATTCTAGTGTAGCTAAGCAGGGCTATATTAAGACATGCTGGTGTAGCTAAGCAGGGCTATATTTAGACATTTTAGTGTTACTACACAGGGCTATATTAAGACGTTCTGGTGTGGCTTAGGAAGAATATATTAAGACATGATGGTGTGGCTTAAGAAGGATATATTAAGACATGCTGGTGTGACTTAAGAAGGGTATATTAAGACATGATGGCGTGACTTAAGAAGGATATATTAAGACATGTTGGTGTGACTTAGGAAGGATATATTAAGACATGATGGTGTGGCTTAAGAAGGATATATTAAGACATGTTGGTGTGACTTAGGAAGGATATATTAACACATGATGGCGTGATTTAAGAAGGATATATTAAGACATGTTGGTGTGACTTAGGAAGGATATATTAAGACATGATGGCGTGACTTAAGAAGGATATATTAAGACATGATGGCGTGACTTAAGAAGGATATATTAAGACATGATGGCGTGACTTAAGAAGGATATATTAAGACATGTTGGTGTGACTTAGGAAGGATATATTAAGACATGATGGCGTGACTTAAGAAGGATATATTAAGACATGATGGCGTGACTTAAGAAGGATATATTAAGACATGATGGCGTGACTTAAGAAGGATATATTAAGACATGATGGCGTGACTTAAGAAGGATATATTAAGACATGATGGCGTGACTTAAGAAGGATATATTAAGACATGATGGCGTGACTTAAGAAGGATATATTAAGACATGATGGCGTGACTTAAGAAGGATATATTAAGACATGATGGCGTGACTTAAGAAGGATATATTAAGACATGATGGCGTGACTTAAGAAGGATATATTAAGACATGATGGCGTGACTTAAGAAGGATATATTAAGACATGATGGCGTGACTTAAGAAGGATATATTAAGACATGATGGCGTGACTTAAGAAGGATATATTAAGACATGATGGCGTGACTTAAGAAGGATATATTAAGACATGATGGCGTGACTTAAGAAGGATATATTAAGACATGATGGCGTGACTTAAGAAGGATATATTAAGACATGATGGCGTGACTTAAGAAGGATATATTAAGACATGATGGCGTGACTTAAGAAGGATATATTAAGACATGATGGCGTGACTTAAGAAGGATATATTAAGACATGATGGCGTGACTTAAGAAGGATATATTAAGACATGATGGCGTGACTTAAGAAGGATATATTAAGACATGATGGCGTGACTTAAGAAGGATATATTAAGACATGATGGCGTGACTTAAGAAGGATATATTAAGACATGATGGCGTGACTTAAGAAGGATATATTAAGACATGATGGCGTGACTTAAGAAGGATATATTAAGACATGATGGCGTGACTTAAGAAGGATATATTAAGACATGATGGCGTGACTTAAGAAGGATATATTAAGACATGCTGGTGTGGCTTAAGAAGGATATATTAAGACATGCTGGTGTGGCTTAAGACGGATATATTAAGACATGCTGGTGTGGCTTAAGAAGGATATATTAAGACATGCTGGTGTGGCTTAAGAAGGATATATTAAGACATGTTGGCGTGACTTAAGAAGGATATATTAAGACATGACTTGGGTGACTTACTTAAGAAGGATATATTAAGACATGATGGCGTGACTTAAGAAGGATATATTAAGACATGATGGTGTGGCTTAAGAAGGATATATTAAGACATGTTGGTGTGACTTAGGAAGGATATATTAAGACATGATGGCGTGACTTAAGAAGGATATATTAAGACATGTTGGTGTGACTTAGGAAGGATATATTAAGACATGATGGCGTGACTTAAGAAGGATATATTAAGACATGATGGTGTGACTTAAGAAGGATATATTAAGACATGATGGCGTGACTTAAGAAGGATATATTAAGAAGGATATATTAAGACATGATGGCGTGACTTAAGAAGGATATATTAAGACATGATGGCGTGACTTAAGAAGGATATATTAAGACATGATGGCGTGACTTAAGAAGGATATATTAAGACATGATGGCGTGACTTAAGAAGGATATATTAAGACATGATGGCGTGACTTAAGAAGGATAT